TTTCTCTTTTTTCAAAAAGTACTGAATGCACAACACACACACACACACACATACACATACACACACACACACACATACACACACACACATGCATATATATAATAATACATGCACACACACAGCTTTGAGCTTTGAAGAAAGCGTATTCCATTCACCGACATTCTTTTTTTTTAAAAATTTTTAGGCCCCTTTCTCATTCGACGGTGAGGCTCTCCGACTGAGAGGCAAAGAATGGTGTAATGAACAATATAAATGAGAGAGAGAGAAAGAGATGAAAGGCACTTCGACTCTCTGAGAGAATAGAAAACTTTGGTGCTGGGGTTTTTTTCAAGTTTAAAAGAGGGATGTATAAAAGAGGGGAGGGGAGAGGGTCGGGGTTGAAGCGGTAGGCGAGGGGGTAGGCAGCTCGTTGCTGGGTTACCGTCCGGACCGGCCGTCTCCATCCGCTATTGCCCCTCTCACTCTCCATTTTCCACTTTTTTTGAGAACTTCCCCACCCAACTAGCGAAGTGCCACCAGTACCCCCAATCATCGCTCTCTCTCCCATCATTGATCTCAAGCGACCAGCCGATCCGACAACCTGACTCACACTGATCGAGGAACCCCCACAACTCTCCGGCTATGTCACCGATCAACGAGTGACGATGACTGTCGTCCTTACTGACTAAGTCACTATTTTCATGTTCCCACTTTAGAAGATGTCGGATTTCTTTGCTTGTATAAATAAGAAAATATGGAAAAAGATGGATGCAGTTTGTACCCTGTCACAGCGCTAGGTGCCAGACCTCGTTGTCTCGTTTCTGTCCACTTTCACAGTAAATGAATTGTGGCCAAGGAAAGTAAAGAAAGAAATTGCATGAAAATTACAACCATCTTGTTTGTATTAATGTTTCCTCTCATGTCAACAGCTTTCTTACTACAAAAAAATATGGGCACAGTAGTATTTCGACAGTGTCATATATCTTTCATTTTATTCTAACTAAAAAATACATGAATTCGGAAAACCAGAAAAAACTAGCTTCTCGTAAGCAATTAAAATAGCTTAAATCAGCACAGTGCTCTTCCCTCATACTGTCACTCCAATTCCACATTGAACTTCATTTCATCCCTATTCATCTTCTAACCGATCAATGGGTTTAGTAGCTGTCGAATTTTGCTCACTTTATTTCTAGACCATTTCAAATCAATTGCTCATATTAAAAATATGTTTAACTTTGAATGACGAATTTAGATCACAGCTCAACTATCATTATACGAAAAGAATCTGAAGGAAATTTTCAGGGAAAACACCAACCTCCAGCTGCAACGGTAAAAATTTTTTTTGCAGTGTAAAGCAACAATCTTAAGTAGTAACTTCGAGTGTATAGGCATTACTGTCGCTAGTGTATTTCTTCAAACTCTTCCGTTTCAACTCTACCGATTTCGAAATATTTGTTTTTGATCAGTTTGAAATCAGCAATGAATTGACGAGACAGGAGACACTGACTCAAAAAAATCTAGGAAATACAAAGCTGTCCGGTAGCAATTGATGATAGCTCTGCATCAGATTCACTATTTTTTTTCATTTTCTTTAAGTTTCCGGGATAACACCTCCCGCTTCATAATGCAACTAAGGATGTTGTAAGCATTATCCGGACAGGAAGGATCAGAAATTATGATTTTTAGGGAAATGGAGCATTTGTCTCTTGTAAAAGCAAATAAATTGGGTGATATGGAAGTATATCTTTTTTCTATTCTGTAGGATGTTGTTTTTTTTTTCCTTGAAATTATCGTCATTTGAAATTTTCAGGAGATTTATAGTCATGCAGTCTTTATTTTCGTCGTTTCATGTTTTGGCGGGGTTGAGAGGAAATTTTTTGAGAGGAGTCCTTTTATGTTTGTGGAATATCTAGAATATATTGCTATAGAGCTTCCTTTTTTGCGCAATGATTTTGTTTTGTCGTCTTTTAATTTAGAATTGGAATGTAGATACTTTCCTCAACGATCTTCTAATAATATTTTTAAACAAAATTATCAGCTTAACTAGGAAATTAAATGAGTCTTGAAAGAAAGTTTCAACTCCAATAGTAAGAAGCAGTTTAAATGCTTAATTAATATTTTCCTTCCATCAGTAATCTCTGTCTTTTGGTGACCTCTTCAATTTAACAACGATTCGAGTCGGTGCTTTTTTTCTTAGTTTTAAAATTAAACTGAACGAAATTCTGTAGCTTCGTGATTTAGAAATTTTATTCCATTAAATTATGGCAAAGAAAACATCCGTTGCTCATTTATTCAGTGATTGACTTGGATGATTATTTTTGTCGATATCATAAGTTTCAACAACAACTGGGTGGTTCGTGGAATGGATTACAATTAATTCATCACAACTTCAGCTCATCATTCATTGGATCGATAACTAGATAAACACTTGCATGTCATGCTTTTGAACTGGACAGGCTATTTTGTTCGGACTAGTAATAAGATTACTTTTTCCTCCCAATACTCAAAACGAAAGCCTTTTTTTCATATTGCAGCAACTTCTGAAAAATATGAGAATTTGCGTTGGTACCATGCATCCTTAAAAACGATTAACTTATGAGAAAGGTCAGGCGACGAAATATTTTTGGGAAGGAGAAAGTCACCATTAGATGATCATTTCTCCAAAATCCTACATTTTGTCATCTTCACTTTTCCCTTCATTTTTTTCAACGACGTAAATTCTATTATGCCGAACTTCACATGGCATTAAAAGGAAGATTTTTTGGAACGTACGCAAACTGAAATGAAGGTATGAAAATTTAGAAACTATCCTATTGAGTATCGGTTTTCTTAAAAGCATAAAAATTTTAGGTATTATCATATTATAGAATTTATGTTGTTAAAGAGAAATGACGGAAAGTAAAGAAGTTCAACGGTCTGCAATTGCTAATTGCAGTTCTGATCTATATTTTCATTTTGCCTGAGAATTTACTAAAAGCGATGTTTTTATAAAAAGCAAAATCTGGGTCAAAGCTAAAATTGTTGTCATTCCAAACAAAAAACTATTGTTATAGAGGAGACGAAATATGCGGACGTATAGAAGGGCAGAGAAACAAATGGACATGTAAACCATCAACCTCACGTCACACAGGCATTTCTCATCTTCCTTTAGTCTTTCCTTTAACAATAAATTTTACTGCCTCTTTAAATGGCACTGATAGCGTCGCATTTGATTCGCCGTATTTTGATATGATATGATATGATATGCTGTCTAATTGGACTATTTTATTGTTATGGTTTCTAATCATCAATTAGACTGATTATTGTACTTAGGAGTACTCTCATACTATTTCATTTGACTTCAGCTACGTGTTTACAGAAAGATTCAGTTTATCCGTCAGTATTAGTCCAAATTTCTCGTCTAAAGCTTGTTCCATTGTTCCACATATTTAATTCGTCAGCCAACATCGCTTTAGAAAGCAATTGTTGCTACTCTGCCGATGCATCCACACCTTTTTTCTCGAAATTGATCGCCGACATCATTGCCATCGCTCCTATCGGTTTTTTTGTTGAACCCGGTTTTTTGTATCTCACGGGACCATACGGGTATAGTTGGTAATGTTGGTGAAGGTAGTTTTTATGTTGGTGGTGACGGTGCCTGTTGGCAAATGTCCTCTCTCGTTTCTTCCATCCTTTTCAATGGTATTATTACTTGGTGTAAGGCAGTACCAACCAAACCAACATAAAAAAAGTCACCCTGGTTTCAGTATTGGTCGTTTTGTTGTAGCAGTGGAAGGTAGATGAAGAAGGGAAAGAATAGAAACGATGGATTCACGGTGCTTATCTTTACTCACTCTCGTCTTCTATTCATATTATATCTTTTCTTTCCTAACTTTATTATTACTATAATCATCACTACTTATACTAGTGCTACCATTAGAGTGGAATGAATATCAGAAAATTAGGTACATTTTATAATGATGAGAAAAAGAATTTTTTCCTTTTCTATTTCAAGAATAGCGAAGAGGAGCTGTTGTTGATACTATCAGGAAGGGAAGCTTTATGTTCAATCAAGAAATTTATTTTATGTTTTTCATTTAATCTCAGTTATGTAACCACAGAATCAACAAGAGTTTAATGATAACTTTATGTTTCCTTTGTTTATTTTTGGATAAGCAAACAAGAAATAAAGGAAACTGTTATCTTGTGATGATTAGGGGAAATCAATTAACTTTGGCACTGGGAAATTAGTATGGGAAGACTCTAATTCACAGAACCTGATTTTTCTACATTTTCAAAATAATTGTGAGGGAAATTGATTATACACATAAGGCATAGTAGAATAGTAATGGAGAGAAATTTCGTCTGTAGAAGTTGATATTCATCTGATCTTTCAACAAATATTGAAGGGTCAGTAATCAACCATGTTGTTTTTCATCGTCGATACTGATAACAGTTTCATCCTAACCTTATCTCTATTATATGAATGGATAAAGAAATAGAGATGAAATCGAATGGCGCCTCACACAACATGTTATTTTCAAAATGCATTGGCGTGAATATTCAAATATGAGCCTAGTGGCAGCCTACGATGTTAAATGATGAGATGGGACGTGTAGAGACATCTGCTGAAACAGTTACCAAAACAACTCTTATTTAAAGGTTGATCAGGAATTTTATCACTTTCCTAGTTTTATCACTTTTCATTAAAAAACCCCGGAAATACCAAGGCAGATCATAATCAGAATTAAATAATTTTAATATGATAAGAATATCCGGAAATATCAAATCAGATGGTGATTGGAATAAGTAATTTTAATGTTTAGCGTAAAATTAGATGTACTACCACCACGCGGTCTAACGTCCTTTCTAACTTGTAGCTCATTCAGTTATTATCTTAAAAATATGATTAAATTCAGATTTCAGAATTGCCAGAGATGCACGATGCACAGTGCAACATGTTTTATCCAGGTTATTACTAGACAGTCAACCATGAATATGTAATAGCAAGGTAGCATCAAAGCAAAGTCATTTGCTAGCTGATGATAACCAGGTTACATAATATGTCTCAGTCAACAGTTACTGAAGGTTACAGTAACGACGGGGATTTTCAGAAGTGATTTTAGCTATTTTAGGGAAGTGGAAGAACGCGTGTCTTATGAATTGCTTCGAAATAACTGGTTTTTGTTGCTCAAAGAACATTACTAATGGAAATTGTTGGGGAATGAAAGATTGAAGAGGGCAGGGCAGAAAGAGAAAATTCTTAACTGGAAGGTTGTAAATATGATCCCTCATAAAGAAAGGGAGAGAGAAAAAAAGAGAAAGAAGGAGAGCTTGTACCATAGTACCATAATACTTTGCTTACGAAAAATGACAATTGAAGGTGCTTTCGACTCTTTTTTTTTTGAAAGTTCTTGAAAATCAGATCTGTCAGTATTCCAAATTAATTTCCTCGATCTTATTCTATGGTTTCTTGCTATTTAGCGGAAAGATGCATTGAATGTTTATCACAGAACTGTCACAACTAGATAAGGGAAGGCGTTATTTTGTGATAGCAGCATAAAATGATTTCATTAAGTAATTATGTTAAACAAATCAACGTTCTCTTCCACTAAACGGCAAAAATAGAAGTTAGAAATTATTGGATTTGCATTTGGAAAAGGAATCGATAAAGACAATTACACTGGTTTTTCGTTTCCAGAAAATTTAACACTTTCAGCCGGCCCATTGTGGCATGGACAGTATATATCGTCATCTTCAATTTAAATGTTTTAAGATTAGTCGAGTTTATTACAAAAGTTTCTAATGGATATGTATTCGATGTGATGATATGAACTGTACTTTTGTTGAATATAACAAAAAAGAGAATAGCATTTGTAATTTGAAAAACCGAAAAATGTTGCATAAGAGATTCCCAAATAATTTTTGAAAAAATACATAGGAAAAGGTGTTTTGTTTAGATGTAGGTCCAAAATTTTCTAAGTCTTTCTTGAATAGAAAAAAGCTTTCGCTTTATTTGTAATAAGTTTATTATCATATATATCTTAGAGTGATTTATTTGTTTAACGAATGCATCTTCAATAAGGCATCATTTGACCAAGTTTTTCATTTTTTTTTTCTTTTGCACCTCATTATGAATGCAAATTCAGGAACAAACTTTTTCTAATACTCAGAAAACCCGCATTATGTGATGTCAAATATTTTATTCAACGATTATCGTTCACTATTGGAAAATGTCTTTCATTAGTATCGGATCATAATTTAAATATTGCCTGTATATTCATAGAGAAGCACTGTAATTGTAAAGTAAGATATTAATTACGCTGTTAATTTTTAGAAGATTAAAAAAATTTGTATCAGCGTTAGTCAGCACTTATTTGAAATGGAATTAGTTCCCAGTAGAAGACAAATTTTAATTTTTAACACAATTAACGATTTTAGTTGTCGCTTATCAGTAGAGTTATTATTTTTATTTGGGAAATATTATTTTGCATCCAATGAAATAATTTTGCCTTCTTTAAAGATTTCTTTCTTCCCTCAGTTGTCACCAGTAAATTCGTTTTTTATTGCCATTTTGAAGTATGTGCTTCGATGCACCCATCTACAGTGCTTAAACATAGACGAGAAAGAACTGGATGATATGCTGGTGATCTATTCGGTGATTATTTAATGCTTTTTTCAATTCTAATTTTTTTTCTTTTTTCGTTTCAAGTGCTAATTGTGAGATGATACTTTGTTCTTCGTTTTCTTTCTTAATTCCTTTCAGCAAAATCTTTCCACTTAAATTAAAAAATCGCTTCTTTTTAAGGTTACAATGTTTCATTCAGTGACAGGTGTTATCTTACTCAGTAAATTATTTTAATAAGCTTCATTATTCATAAAGAATCTTCATTCATTACTGTTTTAATGACTTTCACAGATTGCAGCCCTCGAAATTCAAAAAAAAAAGGGGAAAAAAGGAAAGAAATAAGATTTTTGCTAATGAAAGATTATTTGTCAGTAGACACACAAAACGCTCTGCAAGCAAACGGACGTTCTTCCTGTCATAAGATCATAAAAAGAGCCAATTTGTCCGGAGGCACAATTGGGATGTTCTCGATAGGTACTTTCGACTCTTCGCCATAGAATTTCTTATGCTAGAATTAATCCAAGGAAGAACAATAAAAAGAAAATAAAAAACTCTTAACTCTCCCTATCAGTTTCTCTGCTGCCTTTTGTTCGAAATATCGGAGTGGTGAAGACCACCCAATGTGTTATTTCAAACTGATGGCAAAGATACTCTCCAGTTTTTTGTAGCATCAATGAGTCATACAACTTAATGATTTTTTCAGTTGCTACCATCCTCAAAAAGGTAAATTACAAAAGTAGTGATTAGAAGCAACACGTTGTTTTCTTTTTCTCCAAAACTTTTTATTTTTGTTTTTGTAAATAATCGTTCTATGCTTGAAGAATGTTTCTACATGTCTGTAATAAAGTTTGGAGAAATTATGCATCTCATTTCTTTCTTTTTTGCAGGTTTTTATGTAACCAAATCAACCCCGGACGCTATCAGATAGTGTTCTCGGGGCGTAGACCAGCAACAGGTACAAAAGTAAAAGATTCGTCCGTTGTAATCGGTCTCTATTCCAAATATAATTTATATAGCATCGAATGCATTATTTGTGTGCAAAGCACCGGAGCAACTATTATCAGGGTCAATCCAACACCAGAGCTGATCTCGTAACTTATTACTATTGTCACGATTCATTGCTGTTCTTTATCACTGTAAAAACAATTACAGCAGTTCGAGCTTTTTTCTTGGCTATAGTAGTCACTAGGCTACACTTGGCCAGTATCGATTTTATTGCAATAATTAAGTGGAACTAAAGCTAATCCATCTGTCTGCACTATAAAACAGGTTCCCATCATTATGCACTTGCATTTTCTGCTCCAGTAAAATTTCTTTCTTCTGAATTGTTTTGCTCTATATTTGACTGAACAACCTTTCAATTCATCCATTAGAAACTGTGTTTTTCTTGGAAAAACAAGTTGGAAGACCTGGATCTGGCGACGAAGACCCAGGGTGAACTTCCGCAACTAGACGACAAAATTTCTGAGCTACCAAGCACACCAAGCCCGTCTTCATCGATCATCGCGCCACCACGGCAACAGCCAAGGTTATCTGCTGATTTCTTTATAACATACTAATCAAGGAGAATTTACTAATGGAATAACCTTATGTGAGTGTGTGTGTATGTGTGCATATATATTTGTGTATTTCTAGTATTCCCTCATTATCATTCACCTTGGAGGTATAGTTGTGTTGAACTTTTAAATCTGTTTTAGAGTCAGGATTTTCAAAATGCTATAGGAACTGAGCAATCCTTTTTAAAATTATCGGATTTTTGTTTGTACCTTGGACATAAGGGGTAATGAATTTTTTGTAAAAGGATGAAAATCAACGAAAAAAATTGGCAAATTCAACACAAAACACTAAATTGTGATCAAAGAGATCAAGTATTTCTTGTACACTATCTTTCGCTCCCGTATTTCACTTTTTTTAATATTAAGTTTCAGGTCAGGTAGCAGACAACCAACAACTTTTTCGGAATGGCAACTACTTGCTGTACTTCATCGGGCCAATTTATTGCAGTATTACGACGAATTTATTGCTCAAGGTTGAAGGATTTATATATTTCTTACCAAATTTTTTTATGTTCATATTTTTCTGCGTTTCCGATTGTTACTAATGTTCGAATTCTGTCTGCTTCTTCGTCCTATTTCCGTTCTTGACAAGTCGAAAATATAACGGCTGACTACTTCATTTTTTATTGTTTGCATTTTGGGCAAGTGATACAACATCAAGCAATTTCGAACTGATAAATATACCCATTCGCAGTTCCATTACCGATATTTCGCTAGAAAAATGTTATTGCTTTAATCCATACATCAACATAACATCGATTTTAGCGGTTTTAAACCATTTTTATTGAAGTTTAATATATTTTAAGTTGTGTTAGGTCATTTTCTTATATTTTTTAATCATTCTCTATCAAATAAAATTAAATGTGATCTTTTCATATAATATCCCTTCCCTTCTTTCTTCCTTCGAAATAATTAACTTAATGAGTTAGTGATAATGTGATGAGTTGATTCATGGCTGTGTGAAATTATGCATTCGTAATATAATTCATATAACCTGATGGTTATATGAATTAGTCAGATTTCTCTGAAAAAACATAATGTAGCATAAATTTTTCAAACTTTCAGCAGATATAAGCCACTACTAGTGGATCCATGTATTTTTCCCTTTGATTAATATGAGTTATGTACACTTAGTTTTTAAGTTATTTTCGACACACTTAGTTGAGGACTGTAAAATGTTAAAATATATGACTGGAATACTTTTCATTTACGGAAACCCGGAGTTACTCCATTTATGAGTGTTGTTGTTGTTCTGCAATAGTGTTACATATTGTAAATTGAAAGAAAATAAGATAAGAAATGTGGAAAATTAATTCCGAAATCTTCGCAACTTCTCTAAATCCCTACACTTTGAGATAAACTTGTCATATCTGCTGTTCGCTATATGAAATATTTTGAAATCTTTAGAAGCTAGTTTCTGGCTACATTATAAGAAACAAAGCTGATTTTTAGTTGTGTTAAGAAATATTTTCCATTTTTCAAAATTTGCAATTAGATTTTCATATTTATATTACGTGCGTCTTTGTCGCTGATTTCTTGACGAACAAAGAAGATTTAATGCCGTCTTTAACTTACTTCATTTTACCATCACACGGTAATAGATTTTCAGTTTTTAGGTGGAGATGACATCAATCAATTTATGACATGCGACGAACATGAATTCCTAGAAATAATGTCAGTAGTTGGAATGGCCTCAAAACCGCTTCATGTCCGAAGATTTCAACGAACACTCACTGTTAGTAATTTCTACAATAATTATTTTGAGTGCAATTTCACTCATATTCTTCTTTGCAATGATTCAGTACATTTTTATAACTATTTCCCACTACTTAAACTAAATTTTAATTGAAAATTTTGTTGCTATTGAAGATACAAGACTACTTAAGTCCAAATTTGAAAATATGCAGGTGTTTAAAAATGTATATACACCTATGTGTAGTGAATTTGTGGAATATTATAATCGAATGTAAGTTTGAGATTAATTTGAGGAATTCAGTAAAGATCCGGATGCATTCAGTCTGGTTGCTATACAGCAGATCGGTTTACCACCTGCTGCTGCAAGCTATGGATACATCCCACCAACATCATCAGCTACACCAGCTACTGCACTGCAATTCCTCTTGTCATCACAAAATCTAGCTGCTGCAAGTTTGGCTGTTGCTGCTGGTTTGCCATGCACTAGTCCGTCTATTAGTGTAATTTTTCATTTTTTTTTTTAAATTATCGAAAATTTTGATTGTTAAACAAGCCTAAGCACATAGTATTGTGATATTATACTTTTTTTTTTTTTAAATTTCAAATTATGGAAAAACAAGGCAGGTTACATTTCTCCTCTCTTTTATTCATTTGGCTAATCAATTTTTAGAATTTTTTCTAGAATGATCAAAACTCGCCGCGATCGCTGCTACAGCCACTAGTATCAGGTCGGTTGATGCTTATTCAGATAATTTTCCATAACTTTATAATTACTACGATTAGCTTGGCAGTAGTTCAAAAGTGTTTCAAACTTTTTACTGATTCCAATTGCTTATGACTTGATTTAATCAAAAAGCAACTGATGCTAACGGGAGAACATAGGTTTCGAGTGCAGTTTTTGAAATAAATTATCATAATAATGATCCTGATAGTTTCCGAAATCAATTTAAATTCTTTTCCAGCTCGTTTTATTGTAGCATAACTTAATGACCTCCTCTTTAAATTAAAGTGATTAGGATTTCTGTGAGAGATTAATCAAAAGTCAATTATAGCATCGGAATCGCTGCATGAATTATTCAATGCTGCAACGGTGGCAGCGGCAGCCGGAGTAGGTACGTCGGGAACAACATCTACCACAGCAACTATTAGTGCTACGGCAAATGTAATGGCCGGTGATTTCCTGACGAGTTTAGTGGCTGGTATACCGCAATCCAGCAGTAGCGGTACTGCATCCAATTCCATGCATGGATTGGAATCAGTAACATCATCCAAGATGACGTCCTTATGTACAGAAAGTACATCCGCAACATCCGGCTTACTTCAACTTTCTGTTGGTTCTCCGACAAGCAGTAACGAAGCAAATTGCGATTTCGATCAGCTAGGAGTAGGTGAGTAAAGATAATTGTCATCTTTCTTGGTTTGAGATAGGCACTAATTGAAAGTTACAAGTAGAGGATGATAAAAATTGTCTCCTTCTTCTCTTCTGCCGTCTATGGACATGTCAAAATATATCGAAATTGGTTGTAAAGGATTTATTATAATATTTCTGAAGGGACAAATACGACATCCGAAACACCAGTATTGACGGAGGCTCAAATTGGAAGACTTGCTCAGTGTTCCCATCGTCTTATCGAACAAATGCCGCAGCTAGAACCCAAATTGATACAGAATAAAAAGAAAATCAGTCGGTAAGAAGTCACTTAACTTGCCAGTATTTCTTTAGAATGTATCAATTTGGGTTTTTCCTTTAAATTTACTGGACTTAAATTCAATTGAATTAGGAGAAAATATACTGAATGTTAGTATTAACCATAGTGCAGTAAGTGATATTGGTCCTTGTTTACTGAAGTTGGTATGCTAAACTGCCTAGAATTTGCAATTTCTGTTGTTTTGTAACAGTATTTGTAGACTATTTTGAAAGTAATTGTGTGATAAATATTGATGAAAAAAATGTTGTAGGAATAAACTTGGATGATTCAAATCAGTTTATTTAAGATTTTTTTCTTAAGGGAACTACTCGATGTGATGCAGTTACCGTTCGGTTCACCCCAACGTCTACAAGAATATCGGAGATATTCAGCAATTTATGGGCGTTTCGATGCGAAACGTAAACCAGATAAACCGTTAACTTTGCATGAAGTTTCAGTAAATGAAGCAGCAGCACAGTTATGCCTTCGACAACCTGCGCTTTTGACCAGGCGTGACGAATTGTTTCCACTTGCTCGACAGGTTCGAGAATTTTGAAGTGAAAATCTAGCAGATTTTCGAAATTTTTGTTTATTCCCATCATTTGATCGTTTTTTACAGTTGTCTTATCCTTTTGCAGGTAGTAAAGGATGCGGGTTATAACTATGTTAAAGGAATGAAGAAAGGTGATGCGGATACAAAAAGGCAACGTTCGCTAGTTGTAATGGATTTATTTTATCCTAGTGAACCGTCTCAATCTCCACAGAGCTCTGCTTCAGCTGGGTAAATTTATTTATTATTGGTTTGAGAAGTGTTTTAGGATTTACGACAATGTCTACTTCATCTACTATAGTTGTTTGAATGCAGCTATAGAAGTTTAATCAATTTGATCAACTGAATCGACTGAATTACTCAATTATACAATGGCTATAAATAAGGTTTTGGTAAGGTTAATTAATGTTTATTTTAAACTCAAATATTTGTTACTGATTAAGAGTGATTTCAAAAAAATGAATAGATCATTTCAGTTAATACTGAAAATTGCAGAAGCCCAGGGCTAGACGAAAGTATTGTTGATTCCGGAAACGAATTAACTGCCGCATCATCATCATCTTCACTGATAGCAATGATTGGTAATCGTGATGACACTGGACCGATCATTACGTCCAATAGGAAAAAACGTCGTCGAGAATCATCACAAGAACAGGAACAACTAGAGTTATCGTCAACTGTGGTACCTCTTATAACATCCGAAAAACAGCAAAGATTAGTCGTTAAACGACATGCTGCTATTGAGAAACAACAATGCAGTACAACCAATAATGCTACTAATGATGACACATAATTCTCTGATAATCTTAAAAAAGGTATCATTTAATGATTAAATGCAATATCGATCAATCATCAGTCGATAATTGATGCCTTTCAGTGCTATGTAAGACAGGCATTCTAAAAGTCTAAATTTTACAAATGAGAGGTATTTTATATAATATTGATCTCATTAGTTGTCTAAGGAAGAGGGAATAGTACTTTTGCTTTATCGCTGTAAGGAATGCTGTCAATTGCTTTCATGCTTTCGGATTCATTCCTATATAGTTTTACACAACTATTACTTTGCTTTATTCATCCCTCAATCGTGGTATCTGCCATTAATATTCCTAGGGACAGCTTCCAGCCAATTTCGGGTCATTTGTGTCTCTTTGAGACGTCATTTTCGGGTAGATTTAATAAGCAATCTGATTCATGACATTTTCGGTCGAGAATTTTAACTTTCTTTTACGCGTTTTGATCAGACTTCTTTTAGTTCTTTCACGTTCGCTTCAGATGTGTCAGGTTTTCTGTTCCTTTCAAGTTTGCAAATCAACTACTGATGTTTCAATAAAATGAACTGAGGAGATTATTACCAAAATTTTAGTAGATGTTGGTCCGTAGAAAATGCAAACATCAGCATTTATTTTTGAGCATTACTGAGACATTGCCAAGCAAAAATGTATTGTGATTTTCTCTTCAAAAGAATTTTTCGATTGTTTACAAAACAATCATTTGATTTGATCGCAAACTATTCATATAAAATTGTGATATTTTTCATTTTTCTGCATATAAAACATCGTGCAGCAGTGGAAATAAAGAACAAAATCGTCTTCACCAAAAGGAACAAAATTTGTTATATAATAAAAACAGGAATTGTTTAATAACATCTGGAGGGAATGATACAGTTTATAATCCAAAGTTTATAATCGTTCTTCTAAAAACATTAAAGGCTATTAGTGTTAACAGTTTACCACTAAAACACGAGTTTTCATTAGTGACATCTGGGATTTACATTTTCATGTGAATCAGTTGACTTTTGAACTTAGTATGAAACGGGCTGTTAATGTGTTCAGAATGATTTTTTGCTACGTGTTAAACTGAAAGTAACAAGCAGAGTTTCATTGCTGTATCGTTTTGTTTAAGTGGAAAAGATTGAGTTTAGGCGAAGATTCATTTTAATAACAGTCAACACTTAAGCCAGTATATATTTAATCATTTCGCTTGATTAGCATTTGTTTTTGAAGGTTCTTTTCAAGAAATATTTGGTTCATGCAGAAGCTATATTTTCGGGAAAGTGAATCCTAAATCATTACACAACTAGGCTTGCAAGACTTACATTAGTCAAAAGAGAACTATGGGAATTTTGTCAGAAGTTAATTCCTATGTTCCTACGATATAGAATTCTTCTTTCATAAGCCGATACATTCTTTGAACTCATTTCCTTTGGTCAAAGGCAAGTTAAGTATTGTCGGTAAGGTAAAGTTTGATTAACTTTTGAAACTGTGGTTGTCCAATATATTCTCGGGTTTTATCACGAACTGAGCTGTTTGGTGAAGCTGCAGAGTTTGCTGAGTGCATTTGTATCTAATGATTCCATCAATTCAGAAAGCTGTAATGAATAATCAGATTGATGGAAGGTAACAATAATGTCTATAATATTTTTTAGTGCAAATTAAGTTTCCATGAAAACAGTTATTGTCGCTATGCAATTTACTTTCCATAAGAAGTCACATGTCACCATCCGATCGAGAAGTGATCCGTTGTTGTTGTTGTTTGATGATCGGAGAACACAAAAAAACCAAACTAATTTACTTTAAATATCAAATTCAATCATTATGCATTTTATCTTCAAGGTACTCATCTCTATCACAAAACTTGAATGGAATTCCATTATATCTTGTGAGCAGTTTCTGAGCCAATTGTGCTGTTGATAGCAAAAGTTTTTTCTGCTCCTTAAATTCATGTAAATAAACGTTCGAGTCTACAGTTTGTCTATCATTTCTTTAATCTAAAATAAATAGGAAGAGAGGAATATAAGATATGAGTATTAAAATCATATATAATATTGTGACAGTCCTTTGAAAACACAGTACAAAATTATATAATTACTTCTTCGTTAACTAATTTTGATGAAAAATATTTTCTAAGAAATGAGGACGAAATGAACTTGCAAAACATTTATGTATGGCCTGTGGTAAGCTGAGTTCAACCTATAGTCTGTACTAATCGGTAAAAAATTATCGATTGTCGCCTATGCATTTTCAAAGCTTTAATAAGTCTTAACTTACCATATTCCATCAACATATTATGAACACAATTAGAGGTAGGAGTCCTGGAGTTAACATGTTGTTTTACGACTACTGAAATTTTCCATCTTGAACAAGAAATAAGAGACTTTTGAAATTTTGTTTGGATTGGAATTACAAGTAATGGATTTTCTGAATGCTTTACATTTGAGAAACTTTCCAAAGTTGCATTTGGAAAATCTATAATTTTTTTTATCTATTAAAAAAATACGATTTAACGACAACTCGTTATTTATGTGGAATGGATTTTTCCTTTTCGTTCTTTTTCTAGGAAATGAAAAAATAAATTAATCTTGCATTAACCATTAAACAATGCATTTCCTTGTACCTTCAAATCAATTAAGATTTGCGATCTCATCCATTATCTCCCGGTAATTAATAAGCAAAATTATGCATATTATGTATTATGTAAATTATTATTTTCAAACAAATATCATTCTCAGTTCTTTCATTTTGATAATTTTCTTCCTACGACATATATTCCTTCCAGATTTTTTCGTAAGTTTTCAGCATAACTAAATATATCAAAACCATTATCAATCTTCCTATTAAAAAAAATAATAACAATAAAATGCAAATGATTTTTACGCTTGCTTTTTCTCATTTTTGGATTTTAAAGTTATTTTATAAGTTATCAATCATTTTTTTCGAGCTATTACGATATCTCTTCGCATTATTAACAGCCAAATTAGCTAAATACCTGCTATGTGAATGTGAAATTTTGAAGGAACGATTGAAGGAAATAAAACTTCCAAATTGAATCAGAGTGTATCCTGTAATATCGCTTGAAGCAATGTTTATTTTTCATATAACTTGAGGGATTACAAACCTATTGAATTTGCAAAAGAGTCGGGAATTGAACTTACAACCTATGTGCGATAAATGAATGTATAAAAATAATTTTGAATTTCAGATGAATGATATGATATATGATTTCATGGTACTTTCCTTCAAGTAAGTAGAGCCACTAATTTCTAGCTTGCATTTAATCTGAAATCTAGAACAATTACACTTTTTGGATTTGATATAAATAAAAGAATTATTCTGCAACATTGGAACTTCTGCGACATTCTGACACCACAGTGTGCAAGTAGATTTACCTCTAAAATTTGCACTTCTTTGCCTTTAAAACTTTTGCCTCACTCAAACTGTAATTCTAAAAAGTGAGATAGAGGTTCTATAGTGCTGACATGTTGTTTCGATGGTAAATATCATTCATCTTATATGTCATGTGTTAAACAATAAGGTATTGTGTTTTTAACTGATTAGGCCTATGAGCTGTATGAGCGAGTGATTACTGGGAGTTATCTTGGCAGGTACTCGGTTCTCTTTGACAATTTGTATTCTCAAGCAATAACAATCGTTTCAATTTCAATGTCATTACTGGAGAATACCTATTCCCAAGCGAACCATTAATCAGAAGAAAGGATAGCTTTGGCATTTGATAGAATAAATTGACTCGTGGGATTGAAGTAGTCACTATTTACCCCATTGATAAAAGAATTATTAATTAAATTAAAATCTGATTAAATAAGTAAAATTTTTAGATAATAAAGCAATTTTGCAATGAAACAACTTCAAAAGCTAACGTACGTATATAAAAGCTAATGTATTTATAATAAATTAATTTTGTTGAATGCGGTTGGATCGAAATGCAGTATATTTATTAAATCTACGTCTCCACACGCCTAAATATTTGTAACTTATTTTACTACAATAAATTAATGTATTGTGTAAAGATTAGAAAAATTTTTTACCATAGCTGTAGGAAATTTGAACAGATTTAAATTTGATGACTAAAAACTAAGGAATAAATCGAGAAAGGAAATCGAAAAATTAAATAATAATCTTAATGAAGTGCAACGCATAATAAGGTATGGGTACATTTCTAAATGATTATGATTCTAATAATTCTAAATGACGGTAGATATATGATTAAGCCATTAATAAAATACTGAAAAATTAAAGAAGGAAATTTGAAAGGGTATAATTTAAGTAGTAAAATATTATTTAACATATCAATCAGTTTGCATTTTTGCTTTTACCATGATAGAAGTGAAGAAAAAAGCGATTTATTGGGAGCACTAATATTTTGGCTAGATAGTTCACATTACATTTGTGTTCAATTGGCTAATTTCATCAGAAGGATATTATGTTATATTTCGATAGATACTTATTTTACTCACATATACAAGTTAATATTTGCCATTGAATTCTCTGAGAGAAGTATATCGGCTAAATAATTGCAGTATTAACCATGTTTTATGAAAGTTGCAGTGCTACGAAATCTAATGAAAGAGAAGAGGGCAAATTCATCAGATCTGCATCTTGAAACTGTCGTGATGCACAGTGCCTACAAGATAATAAATAGAAAGTAAGAAATTTGCAAACTAGAAACAAATATGATTATATTTTTTTTCAAAGTTCACAAAGTTTTTTCAAAATTAATTTTTGAAAGAGCTTTTAATTACATTGAAATGAGAAAAGAAAAATTTCTGATCTATCATGCGATATCATACAGAAGGAAACCCAAATGACTGCAAATAGTTTTAGTCACGACAGGAAACAAATTTGGAGAGCAATGAAAGTGTCAGTCTTTCAAATGATCTATGAAGGTTGCCGCTTGGCATTACTTGTTAGCAGTCGAAAGAGCAAAAGGAATGAGCAAAAGAGAACTACAAATTTTCGTCGTCCTTTAATGAAGTATGCTTGAAGGCGCAAAAATGAA